CTTGTAGAAAACATGACCCTTGTTGGGTCCCTGTCTCTTGACTCGGTACTCCATCACAATCTTACGCTTACACTTGCCGCATGAGATAATGAGAGGGAGTTCGGCCTCGATCGTTTCAAGAACCGAGCGAGAGGCCGAGGATCCGATACCAGATTGTCATCTACTTTCTATACTTATTTTTGTAAACTCTTTGTAAATTTCATATTTTCTAAAATAATATATTTAAACAAAACTAAAATTATTTATTTATCTAACTAAACCATGAAATATGTATTATGTATAATAGTAAAATACTAAACTATCAAGTGATTTTACTATTGTAAATCATCATGTGATTTTGAGCTAAAAATAACATAGAAATCACATAGCTCAAAAACATGTTTCAATAAATAACCATCCGTACTAGTTGACCTTGTTTACGTGATCATCTCGGTGAGTATTTCTTCACCGGACGACATCGTACTTGGCCAAGGAAGAGCTCCGATTCTACGAGGAAGGGAACACGGTCTTCCACGACCGTTGCCGCTCTCCCTCGTAGAATCAAAGCTCCTCCTTGACGTCTGTTACCGCTCGGCAAAGAAAATGCTCGCCGAGATGATCACGGTCCGCAAGTTCAACTAGTACGGATTTTCTATAATTTTCTAACTATTTTCTAAGTTTTTTATTTCATGAAAAAATTAATTCTAAGATCACGTAAGCCGCCGGGGACGAGGATGGCACGTGCTTCAGCGAGGACGAGCGAGGCGTGATTTTGATGAACTAATTTAACTTTTGTTTATCCAAACATATATGCAAATCATCATGTGATTTTGAGCTAAAAATGACATATAAAATCATAATAAAGTCCAACATATAAAGTTACACATGCATCTACATCGCAAAATGAGATAAGCTACTGATAAAACATAAGAGGATTAAGTTTGTTACCTCAAAAATCGAAGAGCAACACCAATGGAGGGGAAAAGAGCAAGAACAACAGCAAGCTGAAGAACAGAGGCAGTGAGTTTGAATGGAATGGCTCGGGCTCGGGGAGGAAGAAATGATCCGGTGTATAGGCCGGCATAATTAGTCCCGGTTAGGTGGCCAAACTGGGAGTAAAGATTAATATTTATTCCCGGGATATCACCCAAACCAGGACTAAAACCTTTAGTCCCGGCTGGTATTACCAACCGGGACTAAAGGTACTAAAGATCCCTGCCACGCGGACGACCGTTGGGCAGGGACCTTTAGTTCCGGTTGGTATTACGAACCGGGACTAAAGGGTCCTTTAGTCCCGATGACAAAAAATGCTGAGGCTAATATCAAATTAGGACATCGTTCTAAAATCTGTTCTCTAGTGGTGTCCGCAACGTGCAGGTGGTGGACGGCGACAACAGCCTCGTCCCTGCCGCCGCGCTCCGCCTCGTCGCCGACCACCCGGGCTGCTACGACATCCAGGGCGCCAACAACCGCGCCTGGGGCACCTACTTCTACTACGGAGGGCCCGGCAGGAACGTGCACTGTCCGTGATCGATCGATCGGTAGCTAGCCGACGACCATGCATCATGCATGGCATGCTGATGAACTGAAGAAGAAAGCAGATACGTGCACAGATACATACAGAGATTCAGAGGGTGAAGAAGAACGTACGGATCACCGGCCGTGCCGGAGGAGTTGGATCGTCGCTCATCAACCGGACATGGATCGTACGTATAGCAACAGTGCTAGTATATAACTAGTTCTATTGATTATTAGTCCCTCGTTGGTTACTGCAAGCTAATGAGTTTTGAGCCCAGGCCCAGCTGCGTACGTATACGCGGCCGGGCCGGTAGCAGAGGCAAATGAAAGGTTTAGATTTGATGTATGTGAGGCTTCTTTCGTTTGGTCTGATTTTCTTTTTATTGAGTTATTATGTATACACGAAGAAATCCACAGAGTGTTTTGTTCACCGGCCATGTGTATAGTACGATCCATGCATCCACCACAGTGTGCTTTTTGGTTCCCATTTCTAACTCTACAAGACAAAACCGGTAAGCTACGTTCGCTTGAACTTATCAGCATTACTTATCAGTCTTGGTATAATATTTTTCTTTCACAACAAAACAGCATCAGGTGGCTTATCAGTAAATAATGATTTCTCTTCTCTTCTTTTAACCGTCCTTTTCCATAAATAACTCAATATTAATGCATCATGATATTAGACCATGTTTGGATCCATTTGCCATGGCAAAAGATTAGCCTTTAAACTTTTGTTGCTAAACTTTAGTCCTTGGTGTTTGGATCTATGGCAAAAAAAAAAGGACTAAAAGTGCAAAATGAGATGTCCTTTACACCCCCAATGTTTTTAGCCCAGTTTTGCACCTCTTGATGTGCAAATGGACTAAACTTTAGCCCCCTCTCCCCTTTTGCTCACTTTTAGCCCACTTGTTTGGATCCATTTGCAAAAAAAAAAAATGGGCTAAAAGTGCAGCGCAAAAGTTTTGCCACGGGAAACAAACGGGGCCTTAGTTAACTAGAACTAGTCCATCGACCCGTGTGCTAGAATCTTAGGAAAACATAAGCATTAAGTGTTCATGTTTAGTTATTACTTACAACTAATGAACAAGGCTTATACTAATTTGCATGCCTTTTCTCTTTATCTAGGAGTATTTCCTAACACGGTGTGCATATACATACTCCATGATCTTTATCTGATCGTACCAAACTCATCAACCAAGGATCCATATGTTTTGTTTCACCCATATCCATAATTTACTAATGTTTACTGTACTTTACTATTTCCCATAAATGACATAATGGATCATTTTCATATTAGTAAACTGGCAAGGCGGTCCGTGCAACTAGCGTAGATAGTTCAATTTTTTTGTCAACATTTTGTCTTTTTTACTTTAAAATGTTTTTACAAATATTAAAATATTTTTACAAATATTAAAATATTTTTACAAATATTTTGTCCAGCTATTTAATGTAAAAATGTCCTCTCTTCATAACCACCCTTACATCTATCGGCAAGAACCCTTCATATATCTATTATTTATCAACAAATGTTTTGGCTTAAAAACTATTATTGTCTTCATTTACCCTCCATTTTTTATCACCCCTATCTCATGGTTGTGCATTTTTTACTGAGGACAAATCAAGATAACCTTTAGTTTCCTTTTGGTGAGTTACATTCCTCGATACAACCATTTCCAAAATCTCTAACAAAATGTTTAGTTCCAAGGCCCTATTGTAAGGGCCTGTTTGGAACGACGGAATACGGACGGGAAGAAACACAGGCATAGAAAAAAATGTACGTGCATAATAGAGAAATGAAAAGCATCGAAATTTTAAAGGATTTGATGTTTGGAACAAAGGAATATGAGTAGCATAGGAATTTAGGAGTTAGCGGTAAACATGATTACTTAGACTAAACAAGAATTGGACAAATATTTTTCTTAAACAAAGCAACATATACTCTGTATTAGTTAACAAAAAAATTCAAAATATTCTGATCAACCATGTATGCCGTGCTGATGCTTGCACAGACCATGGACCCTACTTTAGAGTGTTACACCCTGTTCGCTTGGGCTTGTTTGGTTTATAAGCCGTAATTTTTCAGCCAACGAACAATACTTTTCTCTCACACTAAATCAGCCAATAGTACTTTCAGCTATGGCTTATCAGCCAAATAAACCCAAACGAACAGGGCGTTAATCAATGAGTGCTTAGTCCTTTGTCTCTGTGAAAGCCTGCACCAAGTCGCGTCAGTGAGCATGAGTGTCTTGGACTTCGTAAAGGAATGGAAAACAGGAGATGGCAGTGCATATCTTCATTCCTGCGTTTTCTAGGTGAAAGGAAGACTTTCCTTTGGAACGGTACAACTCGTTTCTTCGATCCAAACGCCACATGACGTCACCAAGGTAAAGGATTTGCGTTCCCGTAAAATTTCTTTTGCCTATCCTGCGTTCCAAACGAGCCCTAAGTTTAAATTTTGAATCATCTTGACCTTCTCTTGCAGGTACATAGTTGCCTTTTTGCTTTGAAACAAATATGCTAATGTTTGCTAGATTCTCTGCTGCCTCAAGCAGCCGTTGGCCGGCCTCATCATCGTGCCAACATCCATTGACAGGTATAGCTCTCCATATCTTCTTGGTTGCAAAGCTGGGGAAAGGAAGAATAAAATTTCAGACGCAATGCTAGGCGCAAGCTCTCGACTGCTCGATTCCTTTCGTGCGTTCGCAAGAAGAAAGGAAAATCTGACGTGTTGGAATGGGCTTTTCTCACAAGAAAAAACAAACCAATGCCCTAGTGGAGGCCACTGGGGCAGGCATGATTTTTCCCCCTCTCTCTGGTTTGGGTTTGTGAGAGCCCATTAAGTTAGTTCAGTCGAGATGGGCCGGCCCACTCACTTTATATTCTGCCAATCGCATTTTCAGTTTTGCATAAGCATTCTAAGCTTGACGTGTCAGTGACTCAGTGTCATCTCTATCACACGACTAGGAGTCCTTTTCACCGGCCGGGCTTCCTGCAACTATGAGATCTTCTGGCTGAGAACTGAGAAGTTTCCTTTTGTCAGGTGTAGTAGGCCCAAAGATTCGCACGGCAATGCACAGCACCTGGCTGGCCTTTTCTGTTTATGATGATGATCAGACGATGTGCACTGCATGCCACACCACACCATCTTTCCCTCGATTCATGTCGTCCACTCCAGCTCCAGCGGTCCAGTTCGTCTGGTACCATCCTGCCGCTTCCTCCTCTGTTTCGCAAGCACCAAGCACCAGGCAGCCAGCCAAGTAGGTACAGTACGTACGAATCATGCGCCACTCCACTCATTCATCCATCCATCCATGGAATCAAGCATCATCCATGCATGCATGATGCGTCAATCATGCACGCACGCCCGGGGCCGGCAACGGCGATGCGTGCGCGGCGCCCCAGCAGCACCACCGTACCAGACATTCTCTGGCCTAGACAACTCCATCGTCACGTCAGTCGTCATAGTGCCTGCATTGGCAGTTGGCATGCAATGCAATAGTAGCCTAGTGCGACGCCGGTTTCGTCCGCCGCCCTGATGTGCCGACTGTTGCCGGAGCCTGACGCAGCTCAGTTTGTGCTGTGCTGTACCAAGACATGATTAATAGGCAATAATGAGTAGGAGTACGTAACATATGCATGCATAGCGTTAAACCGGGAGCGATGTACCCGTACGACCCGGCGAACGGCGGGGGCGACGAGTTGGCACCGTCCTCGGCGACCCTGGCGAGGCCGAAGTCGGCGAGGCACGCCTCGTACCGCTCGCCGAGGAGGATGTTGTCGGCCTTGACGTCGCGGTGGAGGATCGCCGGCGCGCAGTCGTGGTGCAGGTACGCGAGGCCCTCGGCCACGCCGATGGCGATTGACAGCCGCACCTCCCACTCCACCACGGCACCGCCGGTGGATCCGCCGGTGCTGTGCAGCAGGCCGCCGAGGGTGCCGTTCGGGAGGTAGTCGTAGAAGAGGAGGCGCGTCCGGCGGTTGGCCGCCCACCCGAGGAGCCGCACGATGTTGAGGTGGCGCACCCGGGGCAGCACGCCGACCTCGCACGCGAACGCCTCGGCGGACGCCTCGTCGCACGACCGGAACCTCTTCATGGCGATGGCCGCGCCCGTGGACGGCACGCTCGCGCGGTACATTGACCCTGACCAGCCCTGACCGATGACGTTCGCGGGCGTCAGGCTGCGCGCCACGTCGCCCACGCTGATCTCCAGCTTCTGGTACAGCGTCACGTCCCACGGCGGCAGCATCTCGGCGTCCTTGCCGTCGTCGTCGGAGCGCACGCCGCCGAACAACACCGACGAGGAACGTCTGTGGCGGCCGACGAGGAGGAACGCCGCGGCGGTGAGGAGGGCGACGAGCGCGGACACCAGGACGGCGGTGGCGACGCGGGCCGCGCGCTCGCGCTCGCTGGCGTCGCCGGGGCACCGCGAGAGGCACAGGCCTGGGTCGCCCTCCACGTCGCTCGTCGGCAGCTTCGCGAAGAACGCAGTCGCGGGCGCGCGGCCGGTGAAGTCGTTGAAGGAGACGTTGAGGGCCACGAGGTTCTGGAGCGCGGACAGAGGCTGGAGATCACCGGAGAGCTGGTTGTGCGACACGTCGAGCACGCCAAGCCGCACGAGGCCACCGAACTCCTTGGGTATCGCGCCAGACAAGCCGTTGCAGCTCAGATTGAGAGCAATCTCCAGCCCGGGAATCTTGCCGGTGCTCGCCGGTATCGCGCCGGACAGCGTGTTGCCGCCGAGGTCCAGGAGCTGGAGCCGTGAACAGGAACCGATCTCCTGAGGTATCTGGCCCATGAGCCTGTTCCCGCCAAGGACGAGCTTGATGAGCGAGCCGAGCTTGCCGATGTCCGACGGGATCGCGCCACCGATGGAGTTGTACGACAGGTCCAGGTACTGCAGCCAGAGCATGTCGTGGAACAGCCCCGGAGGCAGAACTCCGGCGATGGCATTGCCGTGGAGGTCAACGAACGTGAGGTTCCGGCACCCGGAGATCTCCGCCGGGATGGCGCCTGACAACCTGTTCGAGCTGAGGTCAAAGAAGCTGAGGTTGACAAGCTTACCAACCTCGGGAGGAATCGCGCCGGCGAGGTTGTTGCCGCTCGCACGGAACCGGACGAGCGACGTGCAGTTGCCAATCTCCGGTGGTATCTCGCCGGAGAAGGGGTGGTATCTCGCCGGAGAAGGTATTGTCGATGAGCAGCAGCTTGAAGAGCCGCGGCAGCCGGAAGAGGGACCGCTCTGCGACAGGTCGAGCGACTCGAGGCTCGCGCAGCCGCCGATATTCGGCGGGATGCGCCCCGTGAGTTGATTGGCCCAGAGGTAGAGCATGCGCAGCGCCGTGAGCTTACCGATCTCAGCGGGGATGGCGCCGGATATCTGGTTGTTGTCGAGCTCGAGGTCGGTGAGGTTGGTGCAGCGCGCGAGCTCGGCCGGGATCGGGCCGGACACCTTGTTCACGCTGAGCTGAAGCTCCTGCAGCGACGTCAGGTTCCCGAGTGACGCCGGGATGTGGCCGGTGAGGCCGTTCATGGACAGGTCCAGGACGGTGAGCCCCGCGCACGCCCCGAGCTCGGGCGGTATGACGCCGACGAGGTTGTTCTGCCACAGCAGCAGGTTCTTGAGGTTGCTGAGCTGCGGCGGGATGGGGCCCGTGAGGTTGGTGCCCGTGAGCACGAGCCGCGTCAGCGTGGCGCCCACGGCGGAAGCGGGCAGGTCGGCGGGGACGCCGCCGTGCAGGTCGACGAACTGCAGGCTGAGCTCCGTGACCCGGCCCCTGCCGCGTTGCAGGACACCCCTGTCCACCGGCACGGCGACGCGTCGGACTCCCTCCAGTCCCCCAGCTTCTCCGCGCCGCCCCGCAGCGTGCGCTTCCACGCCAGCAGCGCCGCGCCCTGCACGTCCACGGCCAGCGCGCCGCCCACGCACGCCATGACGAGCGCGCACCGCAGCAGCAGCAGCAGCGGCGCCGCGCACGCGCCCCGCCACCTGCTTCGAGTTCGACTCCTGCCACTCATCATCACACCAGGAGGCATCCCCCTCGATCTGCAGCTCTCCAACCACCTGCCAAGTCGTCGCCAGACAGCAAGCACTACACTTGACACTGTACTTCACCTTTTTTTTTAGACCAAAGGCAAAAAGCCCAGCTTCTATTGAAAGCTGAAGAACAAAAGTAACAAGTTTTGCTGGGGATGCCAGCTTTACAAGAGCACGGACTTATTAACACTCAAAAGAAAAGCACTACTCCACGACACTATCCTGCATAACAACCTCCTTTTCAGAGCAAGCAAACGCTAGACAACAGAACAGAACTCCTGAGAACGCATCACTTTCATGGTGAACAAAAGAAAAATTATACGGAACAACAATACAATCAGCATCGAAATTCAACTAACCAATTCAGATGATGTAGTATAAAATCAAAAAAGGAAAATCAGTACAACTATTTCTATATAGCGGTACATAGACGACCACAACCACTTTAGAGATTATTGACACTTCTTCACCATTCACACAGATATACCAAATCTCAAGTTTATTGTTCCGAAACAATTAGCTAGCCAGGTCAATCAATTTTGCAGTTAAACACAAAAAAAAAACAAGAAGTAAATACAGTCTCACAGCATTATTTAGAAAATTACTAGCAGGAACCGTTGTGTTTTCTCTTCATGCATATCTTCCGTTGGGTAAAACAAAACAAACAATTGCATGCCAATGAAAAAAAAAGAAAGGACACACCCTTCCCATGTCACAACAAAAACAAATGCTGGATACGTTCTAAATCCTTATGATGGAAATATTGCATGCAGTGTGATTTACTAACAGTGACTTATCAGGCTAACGAGGCTATCATGTTTTACAGAGCTGAGCTGAGCTGGACGTACAAGGATGTCATAGACAACAATTGAGCGGCAAACAACATCCATAAGCACTGTAATTAGCAGCCTATCATCAAATGACCAATATCGAATTTGGGAAGCGATGCGCTAAACCCTACCACCCCTAATTGCACTGGCACCAGTAACCTATCCAGTGGTGGATCTAGGATTTGAACTCAGGGTATGCCGTCCAAAATTTTTCATATATAATTCGGTAAAACCATTTCTCAATTCGGTAATAATTGTAAAATTAAACGTAATTTGATATACACACACTAAATTACATGATAAGCATGAAACTGAAAGACATAAATTTTAATATAAATAGTTCAAACGTCATATTAACAGTCCTAAATATAAACATAAAAGAGAGTATGTAAGAGACTTATCATACTACTCATCTGACTTTTTAAACTGTTTTCTAAGAGATGTGAATGTTTCGATTATATTATCTTTATTCACTTAAAAATGCCTCTTAACAAATTCTTAATTTTGCTTTCACTAAACCATTGTAGAAAATACCCTATCAACAATTGTCGTTGCCTAGCAATATCAATAGACGTTATGTTTTTACATAAAATAAAAGAGAAGAGACAAAAGCAGAGATGGAATACCTCGGTAGCTAGCAGTTGAGATCTATGCCTAGCACGTTAGTCGCGCACGCACAGCAGCCGACCAGCAGCAGCGAAGTAGCTGGGGCGGATCCACAATCTGACCATTTTAATCATGATTAGTGGTGACGTCGTGTCCACGTAGCCTCGCCCGACCGCGTGTACGGCTTCGTTTATCGGAGACGGCGGCGATCTGAGATGGACTCCTACCATAAAGTCCCGTCGTGTGGGGTCCTTCCAAGTGACGTCGTGTGGCTGTAGGTCGGCCCGTAGCTGGTATAGGCCGTGTCACTGGGTGAGGTCGTGGGCCTCGAAAGTGAAAAGGCCTCACGCCGCACGACGCAGCCTCAGTTAGTTATTTTGCAAGTTTTTCTGTTTTACTACAAATAAATATACATATATGTATACTCTATACATGCTAGACCTACAGGGTATGCCAGTGTATACCTGGCGTACCCTGTAGATCTGCCCCTGAACCTATCATCAATTAATCAATTATTAAACAAAAGCACTGGCGCGTCTCCTGCATGGACCGCCAGCACGTCGCGCCACATCAGGTGCGAGAAGAGAACGAGGCGGCAGCAGGCCAAACATATGGCTGGGTGCCTGGGTCGTGCAGGACATGGTTGACTTCGACTCGCCTCAGCCTTCTCCACACAACCCACCCCGGCCACCCCCGCCCCCCAACCCCTAATCTCCCTTCCCTTCCGGGGTCCCGGCCTTGACATCGGCGCCCAAGCAAAGGCAGCACGCACAGCTGCAACAACTCCTCAAATCAGCGGCAAAAAAGAAAAAGAAAAGAAAAGAAACATCGACAGAAACAACAAAGTACACTTACGGAAGAACAACAGCACTCCCCCACACCCACAGCTCGACGCAGCTCAGCCCGCCGCGGCACAACCACACACTACTACATGAAACTTAACCAAGGCGGGCGAAATTGCTTAACCGAGGCGGGCAAGCCAACCGCCTCGGTGCAAAGGTCGCGGTTAATCGTGGCCTTAACCGAGGCGGTTTTTATTACTCGACTGCCTCGGTTAAGATTTTAACCGAGGCTGTTTTTACTATTCGTCCGCCTTGGTTAATGATTTTTAGATTAAAAAAAAGCTTTTTCAAATTAGAATTTAAATTTGAATTTAAAATTTCACTAATGAAACCACAGGTAAAGCAGAAAATATATGACAAGCATATATTACATTCATTCTTGTTCCACGAACGACATTAAGTTATTACATTACTAAAGTCTCTTCATCGTCGTTGTTTCATCACAAACACGAATCTTTCGTACATCAGCAACTAAAGTCATCAAGAACCTAATGAAGTTGACTTTCTCGTATTATCAACTCAGTAAAGTGTAGGTCACCGATATGGTATCCAAAAATATCATTGATGAAAACTAACGCATTCACTAGCGCACTATCCTTTGCTTCACAACTACGAGCACAGGGTCTACTAACGACGTTTAGCGGTGCTCGAGAAGTCGGTGGGTCTCCCCTCTTAGTCGCAAGTAGCTTTGCTTGAAATCCTTCTGTAGTGAGTGTTGGCAATTCATGATCATATTTCCAATCATAACCCAATTGATACATAGTCTGGTTTAGAATGGCTTCAAAACTGCACCCTTTGTAGGTTAAGTCATAGTCATCAACCTGTAGATGTTGGCAAGAAAAAGGTTATGAGAACCAAGCTTTGCATCATACATCAACAAATCTAGACATAAGATATGAGTTCGACTTTGACTTTACCACATCACTTCGGTTGCTCTGAGCAATCCTAGCATAAAAGCCCTGGACATCATGACGCATACCCGCATTTATAGTTTGTATCAGCACAGAGGATAGTGTAGGTAGGGTGTACCCAATATTGGCAAGCTTAGTTACACATGCAATGACAGCATATTTTTGTGCAACAGTCTGCTGCGGTGCCTTTATTTCTAGTTTTGAGATTTGTACAACACCTCTACCCCTCCTAGAGGCAATAGAAAAGCCAATTCGACATTGCATTAATGGACCATTATCCACATGAAAGGTGTGAACAACCACTTTCTGAACCCCAAAATTTGAGAGCGTCTCTTTAAGCCAAATGACTGGGTCAATTACCTACGGTACATTTAATAATAAGATATATATACGTATCAGAAAATATAATTATACTAGCCTATTCTAAACATTAATTTATTGGAAACGTATAGAGTTGCTTACTATGCTTGGACGATTAAATGGTACATCAGACAACACTAGATCAAATCCCCTCCACGATACATAACCGCTGAAACCTATGACTTCTGACGGAGGAAGACGACGTCCAGCCATCTCTTCTCACTAAACTCAATATATAAAGAAATATATTGAGTTATAGGAATATTCATAATTACATAAACACAATGCTATATTAATCTCAAAACATATATAAAGAAATCATGTACATAGTTGGCTCAGATTCGCTCCATTGTCATCCCATCGCTTCTAAACTGGTTGCTTGTGTACAAGCCATCCTAGTTTAGGAGCTTATTACCAGTAGGGGGCATTTGATCATCATAGCCGCTGCCTCAGCATAAAAGGGTTCACATCATTGCAAATGCCACTGCCTCAACACATTTTTAAAAGTTTAAACAGTTCATCATTGCACATGCCACAAAGAAGCTCAAATTCAGTCAAAGCATATATAGTACAGGAAACTTAACCGAGGCGGAGGAGGAGGAGGAGTAGGAGTAGTAGTAGCGTAGGAGTAGTAGTAAAGTATGAGTAGTAGTAGTAGTAGTAGTAGTAGAGTAGAAGTGTAGGAGTATTAGTATTAGTAGTACTAGTAGGAGTAGTAGTAGTGTAGGAGTAGTAGTAAAGTTTAAGTAGTAGTAGTAGTAGAGTAGAGGAGCAGTGCAGCATAGAGTAGCAGCATAATCTCAATTCCACCAAAACAGATAATAACTAAGCAGAGGAGATAGGCATTTGCTCAGATAATAATTAAGTATTTGCTAATAGATAATAATTTGGCATTCAAAACAGGAGAGAAGATAATTTGCCACCAAAGTAGCATTAGTAGTAAGGATCAAAGCCACCAAAGTGGCTAAATCAGCAATAGAACTCTCTTGCTCAGATAATGTGCTCAATTTAAAATTAGGCATGTGCTCAGATAATCTCAATTCAAAATAGGCAGCATAATCTCAATTGAAAATAATTTGGCATCACAGGCAGTGGCGTTTGCTCAGCAAAAATATTTTGGCATCACAGGCAGTGGCATTTGCTCAGCAAAAATATTTTGGCATCACAGGCAGCATAATAATGAACAATGACAGGCATAATCTCAATTCAAAAGAGGCAGCATAATCTCAATTCAAAACAATTTGGCATCATAGATAGGTCCGGCATCACAGGGAGTAAAGGGGATCAATGAACCTCAGACGGCGCCGGACGGAGTCGGGGAAGACGGATGGATCCGGGGAAGAGGGACAAAGCCGGGAAAGACGGACAGAGTCAGAGAAGACAGCCGCACTAGGGTTCCCGCTGTACGACGGATGGAGCCGGGGAAGAGGGACGGAGCCGGGAAAGACGGACAGAGTCAGAGAAGACAGCTGCACTAGGGTTCCTGGTGTATGATGGAACGGAGCCGGGGAGACGGATGGAGCCGAGGAAGAGGGACGGGTGGCGGCGGGTGGCACGGCGACCGGAGCTAGGGTTTCGCCCTGAGTTCGCGTCGGCGGCAGTGGCGGAAAAATTGGACAGCCCTTCGGGGTTGATTGGAAACCGGCGAAGGACTTAGAAAAATTCGGAGGAGAGGGGCGGTATATATAGACGACGATTAACCGAGGCGGTTGCTCTAGGGTGCCCGCCATGGTTAATCATTAACCGAGGCAGCCGGTTTAGGGTGCCCGCTTTGGTTAAGATTTTTCATTTTTGACATTTCATTCAGTTCCTCGGTTATTTCGATTTTACAATGTTTTAAAATTGAAATTTAATTTCTAATGCTTTTCAAAATTCATAGTAGTAGTAGTAGTAGTAGTGTAGGAGTAATAGAGTAGTGGGTGTAATGTAGAAGTGAAGGAGGAGTAGTAGAGTTGTAGGAGTAGTAGAAGTGTAGGAGTAGAGTTGTAGGGGTAGCAGTAGAGTTGTTGTAGTAGTAGTGTTGTAGGAGTGTAGTAGTACACTTGTAGGAGTGTAGTATTAGATTTGTAGGAGTAGTAGTAGTGTAGGAGTGTAGTAGCAGTGATGTAGGAGTGTAGTAGTAGAGTTTCTTTCAACGGTTAATCGATTAACCGAGGCGGTTGCCCTAAGACAACCGCCTCGGTTAATGATGATTAACGGAGGCGGTTACGTTAGGGCAACCGCCTCGGTTAATAATCATTAACCGAGGTGGTTTCACTACAGTGCCCACCTTGATTAAGGATTAACCGAGGCGGTTGCTGGCCTGGCTGCCCTACCTCGAATAACCGAGGTGGGCAACCAGGCCAACCACCTCGGAGCCCATTTGTGAAACACTATCTAAAAGATTTTGTGTAGTAGTGACACCCATAGCCCACCACGGCACAGGGGGAGCGGCGACCTGAGGATCCGCTCCAACCACCGCCCGGCGCGGCACACGAGGTGTTGTTTTAGGCCTCAGCCTTCGAACAATGGGCTATCGCTCAAGTATCCGAAAGTAGAAATACAACTGAACGAAAGGGACAGGAAGAACGAAAGGCACTCGTAAGTGACTCCAAGAATCAGGGTTTCATTCCTCTTCTTTTTTTACAATGTACATGAGGGGCCTTTTTTATACCCATCCGTATGCTTCACAAGGACATGAATACCCTCCTAACTACTCAGATCCTTGGGCATATTCTGCTTCTTCGGGGCACTTTTGGTCCACCTAGTCCACCTTGACGGACCTCCTCCTATGGGTCAACTATCGGCCCCACCCCTTGGACTCTTCCGGTGAAATATAGGCCACAGATGACGACGTCCCTGCAAAACAAACTTTCGACCAATGACAATTAGCCGGCTGCCGAAGGGGCGAAAGCGTCGGTGAACACTCAAGAGCCTTCCGACGGGGCGGAGGCGACGAAAGCCTTAGAGGCCTTTCGGCAGGGCGAATTCGACGAAAGCCTGGAGGCCCTTCTGGTAGGACAAAAGCGTCGAAGGCATCATAGTCCTTCCGGTAGGACGAATGCGTCAAAAGCATCGGAGTCCTTCTGGCCAAACAAATCCTTCCAAAGCGTCGGAGGCCTTCCGGCAGGATGAATGCACCGAAAGCCTCGGAGTCCTTCCGGCAGGACGGATGCGTCGAAAGCACCGGAGTCCTTCCGGCCAGACGAATCCTTCGAAAGCGTCGGAGGCCTTTCGGCAGGACAAATGCACCGAAAGCATCGGAGTCCTTCCGGCAGGACGAATGCACCGAAAGCATCGGAGTCCTTCTGGCAGGACGAATGCATCGAAAGCCAGAGCCGAAAGTATGGGGGAAACAAGCCCTAGGGTCTCCCCCCAGTAGTAGCCCCTTGGTGTCCCCTTTCGCCGTTTGTGCCAATAGGGGGCGCCATGTTTCGCCTGTTGCTTCTGCTGTGGGCTCCTTCCCCCGAGGCACGAAACGTCTGGCGATTTGATTTCTTTGTTTTGTTTTTTGTTTTTACTTTATTTATTTGTTTATTACTATTATTATTTGTATCTATATATTATTTATTATTATTTATATTATATATATATATATATATATATTTTTTACAAAGGGCGTGGGCGAAACGACTAGTTGCACGCTCCCCTCG